GAGAGAGAAAGCGAAAGAGAGAGAGAGAGAGAGAGAGAAAACGAAAGAGAGAGAGAGAGAGAGAGGAAGGCGCCAGTACAGGGGATTGTCACAAATGTAATGAAGAAGGGCTTTTCAGATTTTGTTTCTGTTTTCTTTTACCAAGGGCATATGCATACTGGGTATTTGCTGGGTTTTTCTTCCTTGTTTTATTTTTCACTTTTCCCCCTTTTCTTCACCCGTCTACGTGCACATAGACATCATATCAGTCCACATTCACCCTCGTCCTCTCTTTCCACCCCTCTTTTCCTCGTAACGAGTACAGTATATGTCCTCTCTCTCTCTCTCTCTCTCTCTCTCTCTCTCTCTCTCTCTCTCTCTCTCTCTCTCTCTCTCTCTCTCTCCTCTTCCTCGCTGTTGTTTTTAATTACGATATTCTTTCAAACGTGACACACACACACACACAGACATGTAGCCACGCCGCGCGGGGTGGGGAGCCGGGGGCTTGCCGGTATCCCAACCGGCAGCCCTGCGACCGTACTACGTATGCACATCACAGAGGAGGCCATTATGAAGTGAGCGACCATGTACACACCTGCGGGGCCGGTATCCCAGCCGCTCTTCCGCTTCCGCTTGCGCCTCCCCTCGCCATCGCTAGAGTCCCCGCCCGCTTCCGATTGCCGAGACGTAGTCGCTACTTCTCCCCCGTTTCTTGTCTCCGCTGCGCCGCCGGTATCCCAGCCGCTCTCTGTTGTCTTCTCCTCTGAGTTCGGTGATCCTTCCGCTATCCCATTGTCGTTTCTACCCGCCGGTCTTCTATCGGTTCTATGCGCCGGTATCCCTAACGCGGCATGACTGTCCTTTCTGTTTCCATCATCAACCATAGCCGTCGATTCATTCTCCATCGCGATCGCAATCGTCCACAATCGTCGAGCGTTGACTGGTCACAGCCGTTGACCGTTGACCGTCTACAGGTACCGATGTAAAAGCCGTTGACTTTTTACAGGTACCAATGTACACAATTACTGTAATTGGATGTTGATCTCGAGTGCAAGGGAGCAGAGGTCCTCGACAAAAAACCGCCGAAAAGAAAATCGAAAAGAGAGGGGAAAAAAATTACCGATAGAAAAAAAAAAAAAGAAGAAGAGTTGAAATGGCAGGGAATGTCTGGTCTGCTAGGACTCAGAGAAAAACTGATACAATCGATTGAGTGATTGAGTGATTGATTGGTTGACTGATTGATTGATTGATTGATTGATTGATTAATTGATAATATCCAATGGTGGTGAGCTAGAACTCGGAGAAAATCAGGTGCAATCGATTGATTGATAGACATCCAATCAAAGCCCCTCCAGAAAATCAGGTACCAATGTACGATTAATTGGTTGACAAACATCCAATTAATTGATTGATTGATTGACTGATTTGATTGATTTGATTGATTGATTGATTGATTGATACAGAATTCTGCGATGGTAATAATGTCAACCACCGATAGCTTCTGAGCAACCCGGTACAAGTGATTGGTTGATTGATTAATTCATTAATTGGTTGATTGGCTGATTGATGAATTGATCGATTTGATTGATTTGGTTCCTTTGATTCACCGAATTGATCGCTTGATTAGATTGGTTGATCGATTGATTAGATTGGTTGATCGAGTGATTGATTAAACTCAATCGATAGCATCCTATCAGAAATCATTCTCTACCGACAACGATCATCGCTAACCCAGATATCGATTGATTGATTCCTCGATTGCATCAAAGAAACTGATTGACTGATTGATTGATTGATCGATTGATTGATTGATTGATTGATCTCCGGGACTAACAAGCTGCCGGGTGCTCGCCACATCAACGCGGGCGGGTTTTCCTATTCAGCGTCTGACAAGCGCTTGCCACATCACCACTCTCTTGTCGAAAGGTTTTACCAGAATGCCTAGCTATAGTATAGCTCGCTTGATACCTGGATGTAGAATAGATAAACCCCACTACCGAGAATAGCTGGCTATAGAATAGCTCCCTACAGAGGATTTGCCTTAACAAATCGCTGGCTATAGAATAGCTCCCTACAGAGGATTTGCCTGAACAAATTGCTGGCTATAGAGTAGCAGCTCGCTGGTTTATCTATTTACTGTATTAGTCAAGAAGGGCGTCATCTGCTATAGCACAGCTTAAGTAGATCATCAGTGCCAGTGCGACTGCCAATACGAGAAAACCTCAACAGGCAGCACAGCTACTCTATAGCCAAGGACGGGCAGCACATTTATTCCATAGCCACGAACAGCCAGCACAGCTATTCTGTAGCCAAGAACGGCCAGCACAGCTATTCTAAAGCCAAGTCGATTGCTTACGTGCTCTGTGCTTATGCAAGTGCAGAAACGCCAAGTCAGCGTGTCCAAGTGCTGTTAGCTCTCGCCTTATAGACTAGAGAGAGAGAGAGAGAGAGAGAGAGAGAGAGAGAGAGAGAGAGAGAGAGAGAGAGAGCATTGTTTTACTCTTTGTCTCCGGTTACAGGTATTTGCCTGTGTGTATTCCAACTCAATCTATCCGTTCTGTAGTTCTCCACTTGCGGATATGCTTGATTAGCTGTGCTCCTCGATATAAAAATCTATGCCTATTCAGTTGTACTATCTTCAGTATTAAAATAGGCTCCGTGATTATCTCCACTTGCAGATATGCTTGATTAGCTGTGCTCGATATACTTGATTAGCTCCACTTGCCCTTATACTTAATTAGTTGTACTTGTTCATATGCTTGGTTGATTAGGTGTGCTTGCCCATATGATCGATTAACTGCAAATGCCGATATGCTGATTGGATCATCTAGATGTCCTTGCTCCTAATGATTGATTAGTTTTACTTGCTTACCCTATGATTGATTAGTTGTACTTGCCTATATGCTTAATTAGTTGTACTTGCCTATATTCTTAATTAGCTGTACTTGTCGATAATCGTTGATAATCCTGTTAGCTGGGCAATTCCTTGAGTATACAGCGTTGATTAGCCAATCAAGCTGTTAAAATCAATCTCGTTCAAGCGTTGATCAGCCAATCAAGCGTTGATTAGCCAATCATGACAGAGGAGCATCGTTCGCGTTGATTATACAACCAAGCTATGACGAAGGAGCATCGTCTTCAACACACTTCCAATCTTGTTCATCTCCTGGTACTTGCAGTTAAGACAGTGCTCACCCCTTCTCGTCTTCCCTCCCGCTGGATCTTCTCCTCCCGTCTCTTACTGTCCTTCCTTTTAATTATATACATATATATGTGTATATATATCGTCACAAACAAAACTGCCCGGTAAACCTTAGGCAGAGAGAGAGAAGAGGACAACAAACGAGGGGCTGTGACAAACTGTTTCGTCGGAGTTTCACTATGTGGCTCTGTATACATATAGATATAGAGATATAGCTCCTTTAGTTCATCGATATGTGACAATCTATATCTGTACGCCAATGTAACAGAGTCAATGCAGTCCTCTTAGACAATCTATATATACGGAAGCAACGGAGTCGCAACCGCCTCTCCACCAACGATATATATACATATATATATATATATATATATGCAGAGAGAGACAGACAGAGAGAGTACACACATATATATCGTCACAGAGACATATCGTCAAACAGAACCGCCGGGTAAACCGTAAGAAGAGAGGGAGAACAGGACAGCAGACAAGGGGCTGTTGTGACAGACTGTTTTGTCAGAGTTTTACCATGTAGAGAGAGAGAGAGAGAGAGAGACAGAGACAGAGACAGAGAGAGAGAGAGAGAGAGGGAGGGATACGACAACAAATATCCGATAATAAACCACTGCGCACCCCGCTCTATGTGCTGAAACGACTGTTTCGCAAACGTGTGCACTCTATGGGTTATAACAGGACGGCAACCAAAATAATGGATCAGCTCCCCTCCCTTGAGGGCTATGGAGCCAGCACGCAGGACAACGGAGATACTGACCGAGAGAGTGGTTGGTACGTACTCCTTGTTTTCCTTTTTTTTTTTCTTTTTTTTCTTTTTTCTTTTCTTTCTTCTTTTCTTGGATTGGTGAGTACCACTCGCACAACAGATGATCAGACCGCACGTCGGGATATGACCGCACGTCGGGATATCACATTTCTTTGGAAGACGATCGACGGCGACGCCGCACGTGGCCGATAGGATCGGAGATAGACGTGGCGCGATCAGAAACCGACAACGTGACACGTGGCGCGAGAGGTCGCGACCTTACAGAAACTGTAACCTGACACGTGCCGCGACCAGAGGACCCGAGCTTGCACGTGGCGCCACAATAAAATTTTAACCTGACACGTCGCACGACCAGAAACGCGACCTTTACACGTGGCGTGACCAACAATTCCTTCACTAGATAGGACACGTGGCTGACCGCATGTACAGTCGCAAGATTAGATAGAACATAGAACAGATTAGATAGAATGTCCTGGCGCAGCGAAATGCAACAGGTAAAGCTCGCCCGAAGCACGGCACTCTAGGAATTGTTGGTCACACGTGGACTCGAGAGGTAAGGGCCCCAGTATAGGACAACACGGACCCATTTAGCGAGGAATTCGTTCATTTAGCGAGGTATTGACCCGGGGGCGCACTTGGCCAGGCATTGGACAAACGGGTACCCTCTTAGCCAGGGACTCGTTCGTTTATTGACTGCCTATCTCTCCATAGTCCGTAATCTACGATCATCAATGGACGGAAATGACGACCTGAAAAAGGAGCGAAATTGCATCTGTGCCCCTCCCAGCGCCAACTTGGACCTTTACCCGGAAAAAGGCCGGTGGAAATTATTCGCATGCCCAGGACTGAGGAGGACGAAGGTTGGTACCGCGAAATTGCAGTTATAACCCACAACATACCCACGTGCAAAAATTGGGGGCATACCCAGGCAAAATTACGGCCATACCCAGGACTGAGGTGGACCGGCCAAATTATTCACTACCGAATGGCCAAAATTATGCTCGTACCCACCAACCGTTGTGCCACACTGGTCCATGCGGTGGGCATGAACATAATTTTGTGGTCCACCATCCGAGGCTCGTCCCTGGGTGTGGTGCGTACACCCGCAATTCTGCCAGCCCGTTTTTTAGCATGGCCATAATTTCGTTGTCCGGAACTCAGGAGTGTTTTCTACATCCCTGAAGCAATTTGAGCGTCATTCGTTTTACTGATCATCCGTTCAGTTCCAAACGGTAGTTGGAAGGGTGGTGAATTTGTTGGGGGGGCAATCCATCGGGAATGGGCAGTTGTTGCCTGCGGAGCGCCAGTAGCTGCCTGTAGGAGGCCGAGGAGACTGCATGAGAAATGGTTAATGGAAGACCTAAAATTCGGTTTTTTTTTCCACATCACAAACAATGTTGCCGAAATTTTCACGAACAGACAATTCAGCCTCATAATACAAACATCGAAAACCAAACAGGCAAAACAAACGAGAAAAAAAAACTTAAAAGCACTATAACACCCCTATTCGCAGTAGTTTTTTTAGTTCGCCAAATTTTTATCTGAATTCAGTTTTTTTACCAACATTTTTATTACTGTCGAACTTTAAATTACGTCGAAACTGGAAAGAAATATACTACGCTACCAGATCGGATGTCCAAAACCCCCCTGACCGTCCGGGTTGTCTGCTCGGACAACCGGTCGGACATCCTCCACAGGCAGTACGAGCCCAAATACCAAAAAAAAAAAAATCCTAAAAAAATAAAAATCCTCCAAAAAATATGAAAAAAAACTATGTTATGCAGAAAACTAAACTGAACAACTTTTATCTTGGGATAACATCAAAATTCGTTGTCAAAGTTTTAATAATAAACAAAATAAAAAAACACCCCCAATTCTTTTTTTTTCCGTGCTTTTAATTACTAAAAATGGACTTGTCCAGGCCCGGACGTCCGGGACCCCCCTGACTGTCCGTCCAAGACGTCCTGCCATTGGAAGAATGG